GGAAAGAGAACCAAAAAGGACAAAGAAGTTAACAAGCAACTGTAGAAGACCCAGTTTTCACCTTGTAGAGGGACAAATCAACACAGTGGTAACCGTCAGGTACAGATAATAAAACAGCTTCCAAAGAGGTATAACCATTTTCTTCGTTGATGGTGTTATGCATAAAACCCCTAGCTACACCGATACAGTTATCAATATCTGGGAGTGCTTCATCCGGAACTTGAAAGGATATGTAATCGGTGTATCCACATTGACCAGTTGTATCATCAGCAAGTTCATTCTGCACGAACAGAAGAAAAGTACCTAAGAACCGATGTTAATGTATTCAATACGCATGCAATTAGGTTCATTGTAGATCATATACAGGTATACCAGGAGAAATGTCAGTTTCAGAGAAGAGTAACAAAAAGAAACATGCAAAAATCTCTCCATGAGCATGCCCTTTGAGAAATATAATAGCATACAGCAAGCTTGGTCCTCAAAGTACCTTGTAGAAGGAAATGGACATGGGAATGGTTGTAAGCTTCTGCATTGTTGACAGGTGAAGAGGGCAAAGTGACAACAACTTCATACACGATATCTGCCCTGATGCTGACGTAAAGGGCATTTGAAGAGCCATCTTGAAACTACAATTGTGAAAGCGAATGTCACGCTTTGGTGTCCAGTCAAGGAAAAAAATGATTATGGAATTTGTTGCTGGACAAAAGCAACCGAAAAACATGACCAAAATCTAAGAACTCAAACGACTTTGTTCAGTGGTAGTACTTCTGAGATGTTTTAGCTAAAAACCCACGGCAGGAAGCCATGTCAGATCAAGCTATGGTCATTATCTGAACGATAGCTTTTTATAAATCAGTTCATCAATGTTATGCTCTTCGATACAGCATGTCCAAGAAAATACTTAGTTCTAAGGAATGGAAAGATACCTGAATTCCATCTGCTGGAATTCCTTGGCCAATGTTCGCCGCAGAAAATCGCTGTCTGAGAAACCTCCAAACTGAACTAACTCTTTGATTCTTTCAATAGTTTTGCTAAAACATGAAAATGTTAAAAGGAAAGAAAAATAAAATCAACAGCTTTGGAGGATGAATTGGAGTCAAAGTAGCTTCATGCATACCCAAGACATGCTAATATATGGTCATGATATCTCTATTTGTTTCATGGATTTTATATAGTAGCCAGGTGAGCATAACTTCTAAAAGGCACGGATGCATACGATATACAGAAAACATGGAATTCTTGGTTTTGCTTGTTTGATACATGGTTATGGATGGCCTAAATTTTTTGGGATGTCTGTAATGAAACTCTACTTATGGACCAATGACATGATAGAAGCTATGAACGATGCCAAGTAAGATAAATATGCCAAAATGTGAGGGTGGAAACAAAAAAGCAAATGATAAAGAGGCAACCTACACATCAATCTCAATTTCATGATCAACTTCAGACAGCTCCAAGAGGTCTTTCACAGGATCTTGATCATATAAAAACTTCAAGAATATCACAAGGAGCTCACTGCCAAGAGAAAGCAAAACAAATAACCACAAAGATCGGGTTCGCTATTATACACAACATAAAGTCAGACATGCATACCTGTTGTATGACAAAAGCTGATCACTTGGTTCTTGCATAAGATATTTTATGCTTTTGAGCAGCCAGTTGAAGAAATTTGAAAACTGATACATAAGTACAATTTCACCAAACGATCACATGAAATAAATTAGGAAATTACTATGCTGAACAGCGGTGTCCCCAGTTTTAAAGGGCTGGACATGTCTGTACCTGCTGGACAACAGAAGCTAGTACCATCATAAACCGTTCCACTTGAACAAGCAGAAGACCAGCATTTTCAGTTGCTCTGTTTAGGAGCTTCTCATCCAAACCAATGTCTTTATAGCGTGCACGCCATCTTGAGAGACCTCTTAGTTCACCCATCCTGAATCCAATAATTTCTGCTGCAGGCTGCAAATGAAAGTTCAATCATTAGTTCGGTAAACCATGCTCTATGAGGCAAAGAATGGAAGGACACAAAATAGAGTTTCATTCAGCATTAAAGCTGTGCTTGGACTTGGAGAAAGTTGGCAAACCAAAACATATAGACACAGATACTCCCAGTAAACAAGATATCTCAAAATCAACAGCATTATAAATAAAATTATTGCTCTTTAACAATACAAAAATGCTGGCTCCAGTAATACGAAAAAAATTACTACACCTGAAGATGGTCGAGGACAATCAGCTGAAGCTCTTTTCCAGTACCGCAGACTGACTTTGAGACACGCTTCACACCCTACTAAGCAAGATACCAAGATAATGGGATATGATAAAACCAAATGCCTTCTACTAAAGATCTCATACCATGTAGAGCTTACCGCTTCACCGAGAGAGTTAACTAAAAATTGATTAAGTGCTGGACTAGTTCTAGCACCGCCAAGAAGGCTAAGAAATTCTTCTTGGGGAGATGAGTCCAGTCCTAGAAGGAAAGCAACACAACGCTCAAAGCTGTGAGTCGTAAGTAAAAAAAATTGAACATCAACCAAAAACGAGTATTAGCAAGTACCATTATTTATTATTAAAGTAGAAAAGGCATTGAACTTGTCGTGAAAAGTTTTCATGGCATCTGACCATTGCTTGCTCATAACAGACAGGGATGCTCGGATAACCTCGGTCAAATCTTCGATGTTAGAAGCTTGCTGAGCGACCTGATGAAGCTCATTTTTCCTGATTGAAAAAAATGGAAATACGAATATGAGAGAGAGATTGGTGGGTGGAAAAAGCAAAACAAATTACAAAGACTTATGTGCTAGTTATAAACAATTTTCATTATTAAAATATGGATTCTAAACTATCAGAAGAAATAAAACAGAAACAACCGTAAAAGACAAAATATACTTTATGTAAGTTTCTGCAGCAAAGTTACCTCTTTCGAAATATAGATGTGTCCATAGCAAGGCAATGCAAACCACGCAAATCTTGAACACAGATTTTTCCCTTTCTTGACTCATTATCACAAGCTTTAAGTCCTCCTGAGCACATGACAACGAGGCGGCAAAGGTCTTTTGACAAAGCAATCTAACAAATGAAAAAAAAAAAGACATCAATTAGTTCTAATTTAGTGACTTTATGTTCATGCATCAAACCCTCCCTTCTTCCTTCACTCCTGACAAGATATCTCTCATAGGCATAAAAAAAAAAAGAACCATGTAATTTCTTTACAATGCAAAGAAAACTTTAAGATTTGATAGAAATTCCGCTCGCTATTAAAATGGTGCAAGTACCTTGTAAATGGAAGCACTGAAAAGCTTGTAAGAGGCATGTTCATCCAGATGAGGTACAGGAACACATAACTCGTGTATGTTCTGATCATGGTTTTGCAGAAGCCGCAGAACATAAACAAGAAAAAAAAATAAAAAGTAAGAGGTAACTCAAATATTACGGTTGAATCAATAGATTCAAAATGAAATATTGAAGTATCTGACTGGTTGAAATTTACCCCTGGAAAAATTATGATCACATAACATAATGACAACAATCAATCAAAGTTAAAAGGATGTAGCTAGAGAGCAACCATTATAAAAATCTGCAGCAACCTGATAGCACAATCATGTATTCTAGCTCTTTCAAGAACCAAGTTTGCAGCAACTAAAGATAAATCTTAAAAGCAAATTCTACTTGCAAACACAAAAGAAAATGCATGTAGCATCATGAATGAATAGTATGGCCTTATTAGTTTCTTAAAAGTAAAAGAACGACTTACAATTTTCCCTATCTGAAATATTCCAAATATGCTAAAGCATATGCTCCCATCCTGATCTCCACTGCAAAGAATATTAAACTTCCGGAATGAGGAGCTTGATAATTCTGCCAAAGAGTCTTCCCCATCATCCGTGAAACTTGAATCACCAGATACCAGTCCTGGTATCCGAGGAGCCCTTGGAGCAGGAGGGAAAAAACGGGAGGTACGGTCCTCGTACACCGAGAAATTCCCAATGTCGTCCTGAAAACAGATATCTTCTTTCATGAACAGAGGGGTTTATGCGCAAAAGAAATCTAAAAAGCACGTATATGTTCACGGTATTAGGATTATTGCTGGTAAATTATAATACAGTAACCACATGAAACATGATTATTCTCTCATAGCTATGCTACTAATTTCACTATTTAAGCGAATGCACCTTGGAAATGAAATTAACATAAATAAATGCATCGACAGAAAATAAACACGAGTTGTGCATCAATTAGAAGAGAAGTCATACCCTATGACATTGTCCATCCTCCTCCCAGTTAAGACAAACAACAGCGACAGCATGAGGCTTTAAGCTCCTCATTAACTTCCCATTCTGCAGTAGAGCAACAGCATCAACAGCCTTCAATTGAATTTGAATATGATTCTCTCAAAATCTTCTAAATCACACCCTAGCCGATTCCAAAATGTGCACAAAAACTAAATGCACCGTAGACACATACGAGATTCGGCCTAAACTTAGCTTCATCTGTCTATAGCAAAAAATTCAAAAGTAGCTGCCATAATGGAAACTCGTATAAAATCTTGGTGAGATCAAATAATCACACAAACCTCGACATCATGAAGTGCAATAGTTCCATCCTCGAGGCCGATGGCTATGGCTTTACCATCAGGACGCCAGCACAAAGAAGTAACCGGCCTTCCTACAAGCAAAAATTAAGGAAATAAATAAAAGGCAGAAAGAGCTGAAGAACTAAATAATCGCTCTTACATACAAATCGTAAATCGACAAACATCAAACATGAAGATGCCCTTCACTTTGAAAATACAAGCGACACCAACGAAGAAAGCAAGAACAACAAATAGAACACTGGGTAAGGGGCACAATTCTGTTGCACTGTTTTGTAAGTGGAACCAAATAGGAGGTTTAGCACAGCTTTTGCATCTTAGTGAGGAAGAAACAGGATTAACTAAACATCATACATGAAAACAGATTAAAGGGTTTATGTATAAGTTTCTCTCAGTCTCTCAAGGTAAAGCATGGTCTCACTGTATTGAAGTTTCAAGTCAATAAACATCTGAAAACGAAGACCAGATTCTGAACATAGCCACCGAATTGGGCATATTGCCTCTCGGCAGAACGTGCAAAAAGAAGCGAGAACTAGAACTACCCAGATTTTCAAATCAGTAACATCAAATTTCTTCTCACTTTCCACTTTGAAAAAATAGTAAACAACGACTATGAAGTACTCATCAAGCTCTAAAATTTGGAACAAGCACTGAAAACCACCACCAGTATTCTGCAATAGTCTAATTCACCGCATAGAGAATAAGAGAAGCTACCAGGCGAAATAGTCCACAATCTCTGCCAATTGAAGCGATGCAGCACAATCTTCGAGTCCTCAGTAACCATTGCAAGTAAATCCTTCTCCGGGTTCCACTCAGCTATCTTAATCTGAAGAATCAAACGACAAAAAAAAAAAGACAAGACAGATGAAACCCATCTAAATTCCGAGCAGATAAACACGTAAAAACCATCAAAACACGAAATTTAAGCAGGAGAGAAGCAAAACCTGAGAGGGCATGGGTTTGTCGAATTGAAGCTGAAAGGGAATGACGCTTTCGGCCTCATCAGTTTCCATAGCTTAAGAATACGAAACGAACAGAGGAGAGTATAAGAGATCGTAAGTTCTTCTACTTCAAACTTTCCGGCGGCGGAGGAACACGAGAAGCTCGGTGACGCTGTAGAGAGAGGGATTTTCCCCCTCGAATGAGAACCTGGCGGGTTTTTGCAAGTGTTTTTTTTTTCAACCCTTTCAAAAAAAATGTATAAACCCTCAAGACATTTTCTTAGTTTTTCTAAACCTTAAATCAGTTGTTTTTCTTCTGTGGTTCAAAGAATATCAAAATTATTCATTGGTTTATTTTTTTATATTGGTTGGTAATTTCAGACCCATAGAGGAGGTGCTGAATTTTTCCTTGGAACCTGCTCTTAATGGAACTTCTCTTACTGCAATTGATTATCATATTCTAAGGTTGCACAAAATAAGTTGGAATTTAATTATCTCCATGTGTAACTGTTGTAGATTATTTTTTAAAATATATATTTTTTTTACAAAAATTCCAAATAAATATATGAATTATAAAATCTTCACATAAATACTTAATTTTTTTCAAAAATCTTAAAAATACTTAAATTTTAAATATTTTGCAAATAAATATAAAATTTATTAACGACGTTGATTATTTTATTTAAGAAGCGACTAAACTTTAATTTATTTTAAAAAAAATTAAAATTTTAGATATTTATATTAAAGGTTTAAAATTTAAATATTTATATGGAATTTTTATTAAAAAAATAGGTATTTATATAATATTTTTCTTTATTAAAATAATAATTTGTGTGTGTGTGTGTGTGTGTTTTGCTTTTGCTATTTGCATAATGGAGAGGGAGAGAGAGGGACTTTGTTTGGTTTCTACGTTAGCTTCCTGAAGAGGATGAGAACGCTCCACCTTAGAGCGTTGTTGATTTGTTCACTCGGCCCTCTTTTAGGAAAATTCGGATCTCTAAAAATGGTTTCCTACTAATTAAAATTTGAATTTGGTTTATAAAATAATATTATCCGACATAATTATAAATTCTTTTTATGTTATTAAAAATCATTAAATTATTTTTAATCTTTCTTGTATTTCTTAAAAGTTGTAAAATATACTACTTGATATTGATATCTAATGAAAAACTATAAAATCATCTTTAGTGCGAGACAAAACTAGAATTCATATACTGTACAAATATTTTTTTTTACAATATCTAAAATTGGAACACTCCAAATCTATAAATTTGAAATTAGATTTCAAATCTTATCAAAGAATCTTTCTGTAAACATATACAATCTTCATAATTACACTTCAAACCTTATCAAACCCAATTCAAAATGCAATAAAATAACTGAAATATATATACAGTCAAAATGACACTTATAAATAAGTTTTTTTTAAACCAATACTTCATCATTATTATTATTGTTGTTATTAAACAAAAGTGTATATTAAAGTCTAAACCCGAACATAACTATATAATAGACTTTTCAAATCATAAAAAGAAAGTAATTTTATTAAAAATCTTAAAATCATATATTATTTTAACTAATTTTAATCGTTTTTAGACTAACTTAATAACAAAATCCTCAAATCCCAATCAATTACTACTAACAAGGCACAAGATAAATCTAATAAAGGATCCATTTTCTAGATACGTCTTCCATCTTGTGCGTGTATGAGTTGCCGATATTCCCAATTATTGTACGATCTGAAATAAATAAATAAAAAATACAGAGATTCGTGATCTCTTTTTTTTATATAAACAAAAAAAAATTAATAATTAATACCATGTGTTTCTTAGCATGTTTGGGTTACTTGGCGGTGAAGATTTTTGGCAGTATTCCTTTAACATACATAATTATAATTAGTGGGAAATTAACGTGTCATTTACTTCTATTTCTATAGTGGCATGTATTATTAGTGTTATACTGTAATTTTTTTTTTAATATTTTCCTATAAATTATTCGTTAGCCAAACGCCGGTTCTTCATACCAAAAATACTTGTCGTATTCTAAACACGTACACAAAAATCCAAAACGGCGTTATCATTCCGTACCTAATCCGACGTGGACAACCCACGACATCGTCACCATCTCAGCTTCCGTTTTTGGAATCCAATGAAACCAAGTCAACTCCCCTCAATAAAGTTTCAACATTCTGTTCGAATCTCACCAACTGATTTCAGTTCTACGTGGATCCAGACCCTCCACACTCCCGACATGCCACGTGGCGCGCGATCGCAGGTAGAAGTATTGACGATCCAATGAATCGCGCCGCACTCGATTCCTCACCCTGACTTTTTTTAACGGCGAGGCAACTTGGAACCGACCACAAACGCCGTTAACATATATCCAATAACATTTCGCCACGTGTTCATCTTGTAACGCGGAGAGATATTCAGTAGATATAAGCGAGGGAAGCTGAGGAACTTGTTTCTCCATCAATGCCGAATTACACGGACTCTGTTTTTTTTTTCCTTCATTGCTCCTCCTTCTGTTTCCTTTTTTTTTTGGCTCATCGAAGAACCTGAAAGATTTTGCTAACGCTTGCTCTCGAATCTAGGGTTTTTGTTCTTCCCTCGAGTTCTGCCGACTTATATTCTGCGAATCTGCGGTTTCGGTGTTTTGTTGCTCTGTATCTTTCGTATGATTCGTTGTTTCCGGTTCGTAACTGATCTCTGGCTCGCGAGTTCAGAAAAAATAGTGGATTGGATTTGGCGAAGACTCGCTTTTTTGGAGTTTCGTGGTGGAAGAAGAAGAAGAAGCATGGCGTTGACGGAGATTGGATCATGTGAAGTGAAAAACGATGGTGGACATTGCAAAGAAGAAGAAGAAGAAGAGTTAGGTTTTGGGTCTGTGAAGTTCACGCGAGGATTAGGGAGGAAGAGGATTGTGATTTCTAATGGTAAGAATCTATCGAAGAGGCAGCTTGATGATTCCGACCAATCTTCATCAGTTCTGTTGAAGAGACAACGAGGTGCAGTAATGGTTCCCAACTCTGACAAGTCTCGGCTCGAGTCTCTGCCCCCGGATCTCCTGGTAAGTTCTGGAACACTTCATGTACTTCTGGTTCCATCTCGCAGGAGGTTGTCAGTGATTAATTATATGTGGCTGAATTGATGATGGGTATATTGCAGATTCGGCTACTTTGTGGAGTGGATCACGAAGATTTGGGGAAGCTTTTCCTCGTATCTAAATCAATCAAAGAAGCTGTGAGTTCGTTTCCTGCATTTAAAGCATTACAGAGGAATCAATCAATCAATCAATCATGGGTTTTTTTTAATTATAATTAAGTAAAGTTTTGATCGAACTTGAGTTCTTTGCTGCAATGTAACAGGCAGTAATGGCAAGAAAATCACATTTTGCATATACCACGCCCAAAAAGACTCTAACTTTCAGAGACCCAACTGATTTCGAGGAAGTTTCCTGCGATTTCGACGGCGACATCGACCCTCCAAATGCTCCTATCCGACGCGTCAGGGCATATCACGAGCCACGGGCAAAGACCAAGGCCACGACCAAGACCAAGAGGAAAGATCTATCCAGTGTGTCCATGGCGTTGTTCACCTGAGCTGTAGATCCATTACACTGCCTTGTACCTTTCAGGAGTTTGGAAGGCTTTGTCTGATTATGTATATAGTACTTCCATTTATTAACTTGAATCTGAAAATCTTTTTTTTTTTTGTATATTTAGGCTTTGGTTTACTTAGCCTGGAGGGGTTCAGATGCAATATAGATCTTATATATTCTGATTTACAGCCCATGTGTTTTTTTATATATCTGCCCACATGCATGCATATCTAAGTGGAGGCATGATGAATAATTTCATGTGACACACCAACTACTAGCATGAAATATATTTTATATGCATTTTATTTATATATATATATATATATATCCACACCGCTTTCAAACTTAATAATGCTGATGTTGTTAGTATGGAAAAATATTCTCTATATCCATATGCACATGCTTATTTTATATAATTTAAAGGCTATGTTTTTTTTAATAATTTGGAACATCTCGCAAAAGATTAAAAAAATCCATGTGAATATCCCTCTCCTATCTCAAATCCAAATTGGAAAAATGATTTGTTTCTTTCGTTATCGAAACACCCAATCTTAGATATTATAATGCTATGTTAACATTTGATTATTTCTAATATATAATTTCTCAAACAAATTAAATTAGCACCTACAACAACTCTGTATGTCCATCCCGAGTTGCCACTCCAATACCCACATCAATCAAATAATATATATATATATATATATATATATATATGGTAAAATGACA